CAGACACCCGGCTGACCCGAAAAAATACCGACCGTGAACGTTTCACCTACAAAATACGCAGTCAATCCACTTTGCAGTGTATCCTGTGAAGCGCTTTGCGACGTCTCGAAGACGTGATCAGGCGCCATGTCAAATGCCAGGATTATTATTGTTATTAAAACGTGAGATGAGGTATTACTCATAAAAACATAAGAAACGCTAGTCGAAGAAAGACCAAGGTCCATCTAGTTTGCCTTCCCCCTTCCTGGCGGTCGGTCACAGGCACATATGTCCCAAACTCCCTCCGCACACGATGTTATATCCTAAAAGAAAACTATCTAATCTGTGTTTGAAAGAATCAACACTTTCTGCTCCAACCTTTTCTCTCGGGAGCCTGTTCCACAGGTTCACTATTTGCTCACCGGAATAGCGTTCGCGTAGATTGGTTCTGAATTTGCCCCCCACCCCCTCTCCCCCCCCCCCCCCCCCCCACCCTCTCGTTATTCGTTTTGTGTTGATCTTCACAAACAGGGGCGGGGGGGGGGGGGGGGGGGCGGCCAGAGGCGCGGAGGGTATTTTGAAGAGAAAAAAAAACAAATAGCACAAGTTTGTTCCCCTTTGAGCGGACAGACGCACGCGGCTTGATGAGCACCGCGTATTGTGTCTGGGGTTCGCTCTGGGACGCGGCGTTTGTGAGTTTGTGGATCTCATTTGTTTGTGACCCAAAAAAAAATTGCTCGAATGGCTCAGTCTGTACAGGGATGACAGACAGGTTAAGAGAATGCAAGTGCAACTCCCCCCCTCCACACCCCCACCCCCACCCCCACCCCCACCACCATAACAATAGCAGAGAGAGGGTCACAATGAGTATAAGATCTGCAAACACTCACACACAGACAGACACACACACACACACAGACAGACACACACACACAGACACACACACACAGACACACACACACACAGACAGACACACACACACAGATACACAGACATACAGACAGATAGACAGACCCACAGACAGACACACAGACACACAGACAGACAGACACACAGACAGACACACAGACAGACAACACAGACAGACACACAGACAGACAGACACACAGACAGACACACACACACAGACACACACACACACACACAGACAGACACACACACAGACACACACACAGACAGACACACACACACACACTCGCACACAGACAGACAGACATAGACACAGACACACAGACAGATACACAGACAGACAGATACACAGACAGACACACAGACAGACACAGACACACAGACAGACACACACACACAGACACACACAGACAGACACACACAGACACAGACACACACACACAGACAGACACAGATCTCTCTCTCTCTCTGTGCGGCTCAATGGTACAATCCTCCCTCTGCGCTGCGAGCGAGAGGGGCTCCACCTAACGTGCTGCCGCCTCTGGCCCCTCCTCCCCTCGGCGCCGATTGGCTGCGACCGCCGGCGGAGGCCGCTGTATGGCCGCGCCTCGCGTCAATCAGCCCCGAGCCCCGCCCACAGCCCCGCCCACAGCCCCAGCGCCCACCAGGTTAGGTTGAGCGACAGCGGCGATCCGCCGCCACAGTCCGGAGTGTGCGGTCCGGGAGGCGGCAGTCAGGGACCCCCCCTCCCCCCCCCCACCGGGACCCCACCGGCGGCCACACAGCCCGGGAGCCACCGGCACACGGCCAGAGGGAGGATGCGAGTGGTCCGGCGGGTCCCGCTGCCGAGGGGGCGGCCGGAGAGGCGGTCAGACACCGGCACCGGGATGCGGTGAGGAGAGGCGGGTCCTCCCCCTCCATCTCTCCCCCTGACTCCATCCCTCCATCTCTCCCCCTGACTCCATCCCTCCATCTCTCCCCTGACTCCATCCCTCCATCTCTCCCCCTGACTCCATCCCTCCATCTCTCCCCCTGACTCCATCCCTCCATCTCTCCCCCTGACTCCATCCCTCCATCTCTCCCCCTGACTCCATCCCTCCATCTCTCCCCCTGACTCCATCCCTCCATCTCTCCCCCTGACTCCATCCCTCCATCTCTCCCCCTGACTCCATCCCTCCATCTCTCCCCCTGACTCCATCCCTCCATCTCTCCCCCTGACTCCATCCCTCCATCTCTCCCCTGACTCCATCCTCCTCCATCTCTCATCCCTCTCCTCCTCTGACTCCATCCCTCCATCTCTCCCCCTGACTCCATCCCTCCATCTCTCCCCCTGACTCCATCCCTCCATCTCTCCCCTGACTCCATCCCTCCATCTCTCCCCCTGACTCCATCCCTCCATCTCTCCCCCTGACTCCATCCCTCCATCTCTCCCCCTGACTCCATCCCTCCATCTCTCCCCCTGACTCCATCCCTCCATCTCTCCCCCTGACTCCATCCCTCCATCTCTCCCCCTGACTCCATCCCCCATCTCTCCCCCTGACTCCATCCCCCATCTCTCCCCTGACTCCATCCCTCCATCTCCCCCCCTGACTCCATCCCTCCATCTCTCCCCCTGACCCCATCCTCCATCTCTCCCCCTGACCCCATCCCTCCATCTCTCCCCCTGACTCCATCCCTCCATCTCTCCCCTGACTCCATCCCTCCATCTCTCCCCCTGTCTCACCCCTCCATCTCTCCCCCTGACTCCATCCTCCATCTCTCCCCCTGACTCCATCCCTCCATCTCTCCCCCTGACTCCCATCCCTCCATCTCTCTCCCCTGACCCATCCCTCCATCTCTCCCCCTGACTCCATCCCTCCATCTCTCCCCTGACTCCATCCCTCCATCCCCCCTGACTCCATCCCTCCATCTCTCCCCCTGACTCCATCCCTCCATCTCTCCCCCTGACTCCATCCCTCCATCTCTCCCCCTGACTCCATCCCTCCATCTCTCCCCCTGACTCCATCCCTCCATCTCTCCCCCTGACTCCATCCCTCCATCTCTCCCCCTGACTCCATCCCTCCATCTCTCCCCCTGACTCCATCCCTCCATCTCTCCCCCTGACTCCATCCCTCCATCTCTCCCCCTGACTCCATCCCTCCATCTCTCCCCCTGACTCCATCCCTCCATCTCTCCCCTGACTCCATTCCTCCATCTCCCCCCTGACTCCATCCCTCCATCTCTCCCCCTGACTCCATCCCTCCATCTCTCCCCCTGACTCCATCCCTCCATCTCTTCCCCTGACTCCATCCCTCCATCTCTCCCCCTGTCTCTACCCCTCCATCTCTCCCCCTGACTCCATCCTTCCATCTGTCCTCCTGTCTCTACCCCTCCATCTCTCCCCCTGACTCCATCCCTCCATCACTCCCCCCCTGACTCCATCCCTCCATCTCTCTCCCCCTGACCCCATCCTTCCATCTCTCTCCCCCTGACCCCATCCCTCCATCTCTCCCCCTGACTCCATCCCTCCATCTCTCCCCCTGACTCCATCCCTTCATCTCTCCCCCTGACTCCATCCCTCCATCTCTTCCCCTGACTCCATCCCTCCATCTCCCCCCTTGACTCCATCCCTCCATCTCTCCCCCTCCATCTCTCCATTCCTCCATCTCTATCCCTCCATCTCTCCCCTGTCTCTATCCCTCCATCTCTCCCCTGTCTCTATCCCTCCATCTCTCCCCTGTCTCCATCACTCCATCGCTCCCCTGTCTCTATCCCTCCATCTCTCCCCTGTCTCTATCTCTCCATCTCTCCTCCTGCCTCTATCCCTCCATCTCTCCCCTGTCTCTATCCCTCCATCGCTCCCCTGTCTCTATCCCTCCATCTCTCCCCTGTCTCTGTCTCTCCATCTCTCTCTATCTCCCTGTATCGTATCTTTCTTTCTCTCTCTCCCTCTCCCCCCATCTCTCTATTTCTAGTTCTCCCTCTCCCTCTTTCTCTATCCCTGTATCTCTCCCCTTCCCCCAGTAACTTTCTGTCTCCCCCTGTATCTCTCTCTCCCCCCGTCTCGTTCTCTCTCTCCCCCTTCTCTCTTTCTCTCCCCCCCCGTCTCGCACTCTCTCTCCCCCCGTCTCGCACTCTCTCCCCCCGTCTCGCACTCTCTCTCCCCTGTCTTGCTCTCTCTCCCCCGTCTCTCTCTCGCTCTCTCCCCCGTCTCTCTCCCCCCCTCTCTCTCTCCCCCCATCTCTCTCTCTCCCCCATCTCTCTCTCTCCCCCTGTCTCTCCCTCCCCCCGTCTACCCTCCCATCTCTCTCTATTTCCTCCACGTTAGTCTTACTTTCTTTTCCCTGTGTCACTCTTTCCCCCCTCTCTCTCTCACCCCTGTTTCTCTCTCTCTCACCCCTGTCTCTCTCTCCCCTCGTCTCTCTCCCCCCCCCCCACTCCGCCGTCTCTGTCTCTCTCTCTCCCCCCCGTTGTCTCTCTCTCTCTCCCCACCGTCTCTCTCTCTCCCCATCTCTCTCTCTCCCCCGTCTCTCCCTCTCTCTCCCCCGTCTCTCCCTCTCTCTCCCCCTCCCGTCACTCTCTCTCTCCCCCAGTCTCACTCTCTCTCTCCCCATTGTCTCTCTCCCTCTCTCTCTCTCTCTCCTCTCCCCTGTTCCTCTCTCTCTCTTCTCCCCCGTCTTTCTCCCTCTCCCCCCCGTCTTTCTCTCTCTCCCCCTTGTATCTCCCTCTGTTTAGGTCCTCTTAAGCATGGTAACGGGTTTCCGCATGTGTCAGACACCCGGCTGAACTGAAACAAATCTCACTCGCTGCTCCAGTATCTCTCTTTTCCACTGTATTCTCTCTCCCCTCCACCACCCCCCATATCTCTCCCTCTGTCTCCCCGTCTCTCTCTCTCTCTCTCTCTCCCCCTCTGTATCTTTCTCTCTCCCCGTCTTCATCTCTCTCTCTCTTCCCCCACCCACCCCGGAGCTCTCTCTGTTCCCCTCCCCCACATCTCTCTCTCTCTCTCTCTCTCTTTCCCATCTCTTCCTCCTCCGTATCTTCCTCTCCCTCCCTCTCCCCCCCCCCCCATTATCTCTATCTCTCCCCCGTGTGTGTCTCTCTCTCCTCCTGTATCTTCCTCGCCCTCCCTCCATATCTCTATCTCCCCACCGCCCCCCACCACCTCCCCCGCTGTGCCGGGAAGATGGCCCGGGGGGCCGTACGCTGACAGGATGTGGCGTTTCCCCCTGAAGAAGATCCGCAAACAGCTGAAGCTGCTGCTGCTCCTGGTGCTGCTCACCTTTGGCATCTGGTTCACGTACCTGCACATGGCGGTGCTGAAGGGCGGGCGGGCCCTCCGTCTGCACTTCCCCCACACTCGCGGTGAGCTGCCTCTTACTGCTCTTAATCACCACAAACAATAACCCTCGGCAGAATAACCCTCGCATTTGATACAGAGCCTCATCACGTCATGGTCGAGACGTCTCAGGGTGCTTCACAGGACATTGCTGTAAAGTGTAGTGACTGTGCAGGTTCTCCATGCCCCCCCCCCACCCCTCGATCCCCTTCCCGCAACCCCCCCCCCCCACCCCCTCCCTCCCTGTCCCCCTCTATCTCCCCGCAACCCCACTCCCCCTCCTCTCCGTCACTAACGGTGGCAGTGAGCAAACTTGAAATGAGATGAAACCAGTTCTTGTTGTCGAGTGAAGAGAGTCGGACGAGCCATCTACAAGTTGTAAAAACTGATTGCTGCTTATTTTACAGCAATAACAGTGTGTAGTTTGGAAGATGATGACATACGTGGTGGTTGTGGTGGTTGTGGTTGTGGAAGGTAACCTGGATGGACCTCGGTCTGCTTTTGTTTAGCGATTCCTATGTTCTAAGTCCCGACACATAATGCAATATGTTTGCTTTCTCTCTCTCTTTCTTTAAAAGCTCCACTGATATTTAATATATATATATTTATGGAGCTACCGAAGATCATCGGATTCTTAAACATTCGTTGGGTGTTGGTAAAGGCTGCTTCTATTTGGTTTGGGGGGGGTCTTAAGAAGAAACTTTGGAGTTAAGAGAAACTGCTTCGGAGTTATCCAATAACTAAGTGTTCCTGTTGGTTGAGAGATTCTCTTCCCTCATCTCCCTCTACTCTCCCCCACTCCCTCTCTCAGGCGAGACGAGGAGGCATTTTTTTTCACAAGCTGCAATGCACTGCCTGAAAGGGTGGTGGAAACCGATTCAGCAGTAGCTTTCAAAAGGGAATTGGATAAGTAGTTAAACAGGAAAAATGTGCAGGGCTATGGGGTAAGAGTGGGAGAATGGGACTAGTTGGTAACTCTTCCAAACAGCACAAGCACGATGTGCTGAATGGCCTCCTTCTGTGCTGTAAGATACTATGATCTCTTTGTATTTGCAAGATTCTGTAACTTGGCTGAAGTTTTGGACTATTGACTGTGTATATTTGTGGGCGAAACACGGCAGCCAATTGCACACAGCAGTGTCCCACAAACAGTCGTGGATTGAGTGATCGTTTTTGGGGAGGGGTGGAGGGGCGGGTGGGATTATTACCCCCCGGAAAGCGATCCACCAATTGACTAACAACCGGGTTCCTACTTACTGCTTGGTAACCGGAAGTGTGTGGTGCAAGGAAACTTGTCGAGGGTTTTGTCCTGCCCGGGAATCGAAACTAGGTCCTGTCGCTTGTGAGGCGAAAGTACTAACCACTATGTTACAGGACACCGATATTTCTTGTGCGCGAACACTAGCTCCACTTTCTCTCAGGCTCCCTTTTTTTTTTACTCCTCCACCTCTCCCTGCTGCAAACGCTCACGTACAAGTCTCCGTACTTGACAGCAATTTCACTGATGGGCTTTTTGAGACACTATAAACGCTGTATCAAATGTTATTGGAATCCGATTCCGTTTATTCGATACTTGTCCCCCGCAGAGCATGCGATGATCACTGTTTGTCTGTGTTGCATTTTAGTTTGCATAATAATTAAAAAATTATACTTATTAATCGATCCTTGCATTTGATACAGCGCCTTTCTCATCTGGAAGATGCCTCAAAGCACGTTACGGGATGGTAATGTAAAGTGTAGTGACTGTGTGTGTTTTGTAGACAATCACGGCTGCCAATTTGTACACAGTGACGTCCTGCAAACTGCCGTGAAGCGTGCGGCTGGAAGTTAATGAAGTAATTAGCAACTTTGTCTGTGTCCTCTGACCCCCTCCCTCACCGCTCTCCCTATTGTCGATTCAAACTCCACGTCAGAACTTGGAATCACAGTCTAAGGTGACGTTCCATTGCTAAACTGGGGTTGTGTTGCATTGTCGGAGGTGCCGTCCTTCAGTTGAGACATTAAACTGATCCCATGGTACTGTTCGCAAAGAGAAGGGAGTTTCTCTCTCCTGGTGTCCTGGCCAACTGTCCCCCAGATAAAACTGGTCACTCACTACATGGCTCTTTGTGGGACATTGTTGAATGCACTGGCTACCGTGTTTCACCTAAAAAAATACAGTAAATCTACTTTACGATGTATCCGTGAAGCGCTTTGAGACATCTCAACGACTTTATCAGGCGCTATATCAAATGCAAGGATTATTATTATTAAGGTAACCTTTCTCGCCTTCATCTCCCGCCCAAGGCGACACTCTCTGCCCCCCATACCCCCGCCCTCCCCCACCAGACAGTTCATTGCTCACAATTGCTTTCTGATTCACATTTCTGAGCCAGCTTTTATCCGATTCCATATTCTATCTTGGCTTTCTGCGGCTTTTCGTTTTAATTAAAAATCTTTCATGTGGAACATTTGCCAAAAAGCTTTTTAGTGGTGATGGGGGTAGTGGGGGTGGGGGAGGGGGGGGGGGGGAGGAGTTGGAAAGTAAAATGTGTGAAGATGAGCGGTACTCTCTCTCTCTTGTAAAGCCCTTTGAGATGTTGAACTCCCTGTATAAAGCTTTCCTGGCTAATCTGTGCCAAGGTTACTAGTGTGTGGACACTCCCTCATTGCGTCCTTTGCAATGGATGTCACCATTGAGCCTATTTATCGGACTAGTGCTGATGGGGCCAAAGCCTCAGCTCTGATTAATTTGCTCTAACTCAAATGACGACTCTAACCCTGTTGACGAGGTTGGTTGAGATGAAGAAGGTTCTTCGGCCCATTCCCTTGTCACTTGGTAATCTGGGTCCAATCTCCCAGGCCCTGCGTTATAACGATACATATTAAAACCTCTTCCTCTCATGGGTAGATTTAGGGAAGATGTGTGTGCTGCATTGAGTCTGTCTTTTTGTGCCCAGCCAGGTGTCTGACATATGCGGACACCCATCACCATTGCTTAAGAGTATCCAAACCAGATTTCCTTGCATTCCCACCTACATGTGGGAATCCCAGAGATAGATTGTTGAAATGGACTGCGAGCGCTCTTCTCTCTCTCTCTCTCTCTCTCTCTCTCCCTGGAGGGATGCATTCTGCTTACTTAATTCCGGAGAGTATTAGGCACAGGTTGGCAAGAGCCAAGGCTTGGGGATCCCAAAATGTGCATTGGGGGCAACTGCTGGAGTCTAACCATAGCTTGTTCCTGTCAGTGTTGATGTTAGTAACACTGCTTAAAAGGGCCTTTTGTGGTTGCCTACAACATGCACAGTCTTTACATAATTACATAATTGCTGTGAAGCGCTTTGAGGCACTTTATATCACATCTGCAGACCGTGCCTACGGTCACTGCTCCTCTCTCTCCCCCAGCTCAGTGTCGGGCTCCGCCACTGTTTAAACGTTCTGAGATTTTACCTGCCTGAAGGATGCTGCATAAATGCGAGTAGTTATTGTTACGAGTTATAGATGTTGTGAAAACAAATGCAAAGTTCTTTCATTATTAAGTGACATTCTATCTGAACTCTAAATGAAACTCGTCTCTTCTCCCATTACGCTATTCAAGTGGGGCAAGGGGTAGAGAAAGTGTCATGCTCCGTGTGAGCTTATCTTCCCCTTATCTTCTTTTTCTCTCTCCGTTATGCCCCTTTGTTCTGAAATAATTTAATCCATATCGAAAGAAAGTGAATTCTCTTTGTTCCCCCCACCCACCGCCCTGGAGAGAATTGCTTTTACTTCGAAGATAAAGCTTCCCTCTCTCCAGCGATCTTCCACATCCAGTTGACCTGGCAACCACTGAAGATATCATCAGAGGATTCGGGCGGGGGTGGGGGCCCTGGGCTGGGGGAAGGGTCTAGGCTGTCAACATTGAGGACCATAAACTTGCGAATGGACCTTCACTCTGATCAGAGCGTCCTTGGATTCCCACAATCTGATTTCAGTACCAGTTGTTGGTCAACGGAAGGTATAACAATAATAATAATAATCCTTGCATTTTGATATAGCCCCTTATCACATCTTCGAGACGTCTCAAAGCGCTTCACAGGATATACTGTAAAATGAACTGACTGTACATTTTGTGGGTGAAACGCAGCAGCCAATTGCACGCAGCAGCGTCCCACAGACAGTTATGGATTGAGTAACCAAATTATTATTTATTTATTTTTGAAGGAATTATTACAACCGGAAAAGCGATCCGCTAATCAACTAACAACTAGGTTCCTACTTACTGCTAGGTAAGCAGAGACGTGTCGAGTAAGGAAACTTGCCCGGGAATCGAACCCAGGTCCTTTCGCTTGTAGGGCGGAGTGCTTTAACCACTCAGATACAGGACTTCCAAGTTGGCTTCTAACTCCGGAATTCTGACGAGATTCCTTGTTAAGCACGTGAGGCAACTCCATCTTGCACCTCCCGCAACCACCAAACACACCCACAACCCACCCCCAATCTAGAGTAACCTCAGATCTTAACTTGGCAAATAATATAGAGGAATGTGAGCCACTCGGATGGTTTTATCCAGTGAGCGACGTGGTCTGTGGCTGTAGTTCAAACATATGGTTGGGGCCGTGTGGTTACGTGATATGTACACAGCAACAGGATGGAGGTTTAGGAGTATTTGAAGTGGATTGGGTCAGAGTCTAGTTGTGTATCTGAGTAACACTATGCTGTCAGCCAGGTCACTCTGTTAAGACTTTTCCTTTGAAGGTTGAGAATGTCTCGACACGTCCGAGTCTGCCTTGGATTACCGCAGAGCTTCCTGGCGTTAAAAGATCCCGTAGGAAGATTGGAAAGGAGAAGGGAGTTTCTCCTGTGTCCTAGCCGACAATCTCCCCAGATAAATGGGCGTTTGTGAGACCTTGGCTGCAGGATTTATCTACAAGCTCCACAGTCGCTGCATTAGATAGCAGTTACCTGGAAAGCATTGTGAGAAATGACATTATAGGCGCAATATCAAGTGTGAGGATTATAATTAGCAATAATAGCAATAATAAATAATAAGTACCTGATGGGTACC